TGGTCCTACTAGCTTTATAGAACTTTATATAAGACATATTTATAAAATAATTTTGTTTATGCTGTAAATCTTTGTATTAAAATTTTTTCAAAATGCGTAAAATTCTAAAAAAGTCTTGAAGTTGTTAAAAGTTAAAGTCTTAAATGATGATTAAAATCGAAAACTAATGAGAACCAAGGCGTGGTAATTAGAGCGCAAATTAATTTATGTTAAAACGTTATCTTTATTCAAATTAGTTGATTAAACGTTCCGAGTCCGTTTTGAATCATCTTTAGCAAAAAAATTAAAAGTTGCTATAATTAAAAGTTTGCCTTATAACTGAATCTTAATAGACATGCTTATGATCAGATAAGGCGACAATATACATATTTGATAATGATTCGTAAAACAGCAGAGTGGAACGATTATCTCAACAGTTGATTGGCAAAACATTTATTGTTAAGCGAATCAACGTTAAATAGCCAATAAATTTTTCTGAAAATAATTAACTATTTTATAATTTAAAAGACTTTGCTCATTTCACTTTCGGAATACACAATAGCATTATGATTTAATTAGGATTAATTACTGCTATATTAATGTATGTATTTTAATCATTTAAAATACATGCAGTATTTTACATATAGCTCACAAAAATTTAATACTAAAAATGATATTTTCGATAATATCGCTATATATTTTGTTGCATATTTTTGTAGTAATTACATGTAAATACAAAAATTGAAATAAAAGTAAGAATTAATAGATGAAATTTAAAAACTAAATTGATTCATAAATTTTTTTACCTGATTTATAATTAATATTTATTAATTTCTGTTGATATTTTCGATTCGTGCATAAAAGATACTCGAGAGTCTAATTAATATATAAATTCTATTTTACGAGTATGCGCATCTGCAATTATCTAGATTTTCTTTTTGGTGAGAGGTTTCATGCAATTTCTCTCGAGAGAAAGCCTACGGATATATAATGCCGCGTAAATCCGGATGCTCTCCCACTGAGTGCATCACATGTTATCAATCATCAGACGCGATACTGAAGCTGTGATTCGTGTATTGAGAAACATGTGAGAAGTATCTATTTATGTCCGGTTCCGCTAATGTAGATTTAAGTCCAACTTATTCTTTTTTTAAATAATTCTAAGAATTAGAAAAATATGAAAAGTACTCTCCAAAATTTCTTGAAATCTCACTCTAAAAAAATTAAAATATAGTCACTATTGAAAAAGAGTGAAAATAAATTTGCACTATTTAATAAAATTTTTTGAAATCTCACTTCGAAAGAGTTAAAATATTGCTACTATTGAAAAAGAGTGAAAAAAATTTGCACTCTTGAACAAGAGCGGCAGATTTTCACTCTTTTGGAATGAGATTCGCTCCAAAGGAAAGAAATGTCATTTCCTTTTTGGAATGAATCTCACTCCAAAAAAGTGAAAATCTGCCACTCTTGTTCAAGAATGCAAATTTTTCACTCTTTTTCAATAATAGCAGTATTTTTACTCTTTTGGAGTGAGATTAAAAAAATTTAGAGAATATAAATTAACTCGAGATTAAATTTAATCTGCATGGTAATCTGTAAAACAGACCTTGAAACGGACATAAAACGCGATCTGTAATTTGCATAATTTTTCCATGAATTGTCACAATATAAATGATATAACGATATCATTTATATAAAATTTATATAAAATATACATTATTATGCTAATGCCTAGTAATAACTTTTTACTGACGTAAATAAGTAAATTAATTTAAGCTGTTACGCAATTTTGTTTTTTAATACAGTGTATACAGCTTTTTCTAACTACGCCGTTTATTTTCAAACTGTACAGGTATATCATTGAAGCGACACACGTTTAGCATTCATTATCATATCTTGTATAGGTACTGCAGCGATCTGTTGTATGTGAAATGCGAGATGAGATCATATATGTAGACATCAACATGTGATGTTAGTCTTAATATGAGAACAACTATCTTAATTTGTGTCAACCATTAAAAAAATATTTGTATTACATAATTATTTTATCAGAAGACTTTAAAATAAGAACACAAATTCTATATACTACCAATAAGATCAGCTTACAAAAGAAATAAGGGTTTTGTGATGTTAAGCAGGTTTGCTTTTTCCTTATCTTGTAACCTTTAACTTTAATTTTAATGAAATCAATTCATTATCAATCATTTCTCATAGATATGAGAACGGTTCGCATAATTAATATCGAAATAAAATATTATTAATCGACTGTTGCTTGCAATTGTCAACGTTCTATCTATTGAACGTAATTAAAATTTATTGTCAGACTTTTTGATAGCAAAGGTGAACCATCACATCACTTCAATAATATCTTATTGCGTAAAATCGACAGGATAGTTCAATGAAAATTGAGATAATTTTGGTAAATAGTGCCTCTCGCTTTATATTTTTTTTGTTCTATTCAGTATACATTTAATTTTGTCATTATTACATAGATTATATTCATGAATTTATTATAAGAAAAACTGTAAAATATCAATGAATTAATGTTAAAAAATGGAAGGAAGAACATTTATAAGTCAAATTGACAGAGACATAATGTCTCAAATACTTAATTTTAATACATAAGTGATTTATTAAAAATTATTAAATTAATTTACTTTCTCTCTCTCTCTCTCTCTCTCTCTCTCTCTTTCTCTCGCACGTGTGTCCTTTAAATATTTTTTATTTTGTAAATATGAAAATATATGCAGATATAGAAATATCAACAGATTTCAAGAAGAGAAAATTTTTGAATTATTTCTTCATTTCTCTTTAAAGAATCCTTTTAAGCTTTCCTGTAAGTCTTTGTAAATTAATTAATTTATTAATCTTTCTTATATAATAGTAATAAAATGACTTTATTAGTCAATGGTTTTTTATCTATTATTATTTTATTGCCATTTTTTACTATCACATTCAGAGTGAGAGAAAGAGAAGAAGGAGGAAGGAGAATTGTTGTGTCTACTTTAAAAAGGAAACTTGTGCATGACTGTCAAATTTTGCATCCTATCAATAATGCAGAGTCATAGTAATTTACACAAAAAAGTATTTGATATCTACAACTGACATGCCTACAAGGTTGATAAAAAAAAAACATGTTTTAAACAATTTAAAAGGCGTTTAATCGATATTTTTAACATATCTTAAATATTTTGATAACATTTTAAAACATGTTTAAAGCATTTTAAAAACATGTTTAAAAAGAAATATATTTTATTCTAAAAAAAAAAAAACATTAGTCTTTGCCAACCCTGCAAGTCTGTTAACATTTATGTGCAAAACTGTATTTGTCGACAGGGTCAAATCCTAAAAATACAGTTAAAATCGATCATCATATTTTAAATCGGAAGTAGTATCTATATTTTACTAGTATATCTCGGATTTAACGACATGAAATTTTATATTTTAATAAAATTAATATACAAAATTCATAATTGACAAAATTTATAAATTGATAGAAATTAGGTGAATCATATTCAAAAATTTTTTTCTTGTGATGTTTTAACAGTCATTAATAATTTCTATAAATCTGATTTGCGCAATTCAACTCTAGCACGATTCTCGATAATTCTCAGTGCAATTCAGAGACAAATGGCACTCTTATTAATTTACCTAATGCAAACACACTGAGTAAAGTTCAATAAACAGAAGGAGTGACATGACATGTCTGCGTCGGTGGAATTAATTAATGCACACTTGAATACACATATCAGATAATTATGCACACGATAATATATAGCACGCCAGTTTAACAAAATTAGTCAATGTATAATGAAAAATGGACTCAACTTTTTCAAATAAATTTTTCTTTGTTTGAATTAATTTTAACTGCAAGCATAAATAAACTTATATTTCTGGACTAAAATGTAATTTTTTAATCTTTTTATCATGAATTGTTGTGGAAAATAATTTTATTTAGTCTTAGGAAATTATTAACCGTTAATTGATTAAATTTTTATTATATCAAAATGTTTATGTCAGAATGATTGATAATCATTTTGGACACGCGATGTTCACGCGGTCGATTACTTTTTAGGAGTTTGTTCCTGAATCATTATTGAAGTTTCTAAATGTCATCTTGCCATTATCAATCAGTGAACGAAGATCAAAGTCTCCTCTAATGAGAGAATAATTATTTAAGTTAACTTTCCGGAGATTATGTTCTCATAGAGCAAGGAATGCATCTCATCTTTGAGCTTTGATGATATGTGCCGATTTTTATTATGCACATATATGGATTATATTGCGTGCATCTGTTTTCGCTATCTCTTACAATAATAAAGTATTTTTGTATTACGCAACTTGTTGTGTGTAGGATGATTTCTCCTTACTTCATTCCTCTCTTCTTAAATTGAAACAGATTTTGTGGTAATGGCAATCAAATAAATTTAGCGTTGCAAATCATAATTCCAAAAGTATACAAATTACTTAATCTAATTTTCCTTATAACTAATTTTTTCCTATGTTTACACAACACGCAAAAACATTTTAACTTGAATGAAAATTCTATTATCTAAATTCTATTATCTTAGAATAAAAATAGATGACATAAGATGTTTCAAGTGGTATTATATTTATTATATAATTAATGCTAATATTTTAGAATTCTGTTTTAAAAATGAATATTTTAACATTTTATTTTGAAACAATAATAGGTTTAATTTTATTTCTTTAGATATAATTATTGTTGTGCATTCTCCGAAGTCTCACAAAATATTTTTTTTTATTAACGATTCATAGAATAGTATATCTAAATTGTTTTATCAAATATAATTTTTTGTTTGATAAATTATCTTTTTTTATCTGCAATTAAATTAAATTTTTCAATAAAACTTTAGTAATAATGTCTTTCAATATGTCTTTCAACAGCTTAAAGAATTTAAGAGAGTTTTAAGGACTAAAATCAATCTCTACATACAACAAAGATGCAAATAATTGATGTGTTACACGCGTTTGACAACTGATCATATTTATTGTTACAGTATGGTCGACAAAACATAGAAAATGTAAAGAAGAGAAATGGTACCCTGGATCCAAATGAGGATCTTAACATAGAAGAAGAATGTGAATCACCAACGATCACGGAAAAAGATTCAACGATAACATCGCCTAAAATGCAAAACGGGAATGTGAGTAATTCGGTGATAGCCAGGTCGAAAGATTTAATCTTGGTCCCAGAACCAGAAATGCATAATCACAAAAATCATATTAACGAATCGAGCCTCAAAAACGACCATAAACCATCAATAATTGATGACAAAGAGGTAAATTAAAGAAAAATTATATTTTTATTGAGTTTCACTAAATAAAAATTAGCTCTATTTTTCTCAATTCTGATTTTAGGATAGCCTTAATCAGAAAAACTCTTTTGAAACGCAAATCGGATTTGCGACAAGTTGTTTGGATTATATCAGAGCTGGCGTTGAAGCAATTATAGAAGACGAAGTGACTTCACGCTTTGAAGCTGAAGAACTTAAGGTAATATTTCATCGACTATAATAATTGTAGAAGAAAGGTCCTATTATGAGATACCATTTTAGGTAAATGCTAGAAGTCTATGAGCAGAATTTAAAAAAATAATAGGTCATTTTGAAGGGAATTTAATAAGCTTTAAGATAATGTTATATAAAATTTAATTCAAATTCCATTTTTTTTTTATAATTAAAGAAATGTAAAAAGTGAGCAAATCGCAAAGTCAAAAAATTATGCTAATATGAAATGCCCTGAGAAATTGATAATAAAACCCAAAATATATCAGTATTGTAACTAAAAAACTTTTATTTAATGTTTCTTAAATACAAACAAACACAGCCAGAGTGCGCGAAAATGAGTATGCGATACATTATACTCAGAACTCATCTTCTGGTAGTTGAAATCAAGCATCGCAGAAATAAGCTCGACGTTCATTCCGACGTTGTCCTTTTTATTATTGTACAATAACATAGTTTAGTAACGATTTTCACTATGATATGGGAGCATGAGTTATTTCATATTAAAAATATCCTGCGTATCTCGTATTACGATTTCCACGCCTTACGGTTTTACGATCATCAAATTTAACTTCTGTAATTAAGCATATTTTTTTATTAGTACGACCTTACTCTACCACTACATGAAGAATTTATTGCCAAATATTTTTATTTTATTAAATAATAAACAATGTTTAAAGGCTTATCTCAATGAAACTTGAAGACATCCAAATTCTAAAATCTTTTTTTACAATGACTACAGGCATGATCTAATAAAGAATTTTCTACTAAATAGTTTTCAATCCAAGAGCAATAAATTCATGTGGAACCAATAGATAGTGTCTATTAGTTTAGCAGAAACGCCACTATCTCATATTAGGCGCTTATCTCATAATAGGGAGCTTTCCTCTATGTATAATTTGCATAATAATAATTAACATATTGAATAATTTATGAATGTGTTTTGTAGAATTGGAACTTGTTAACTCGAACAAATAGACACTACGAATTTATCTCCTGGAAATTAACTTTTATATGGATGTTCGGATTCGTCATGCGTTATTGTTTCTTGCTACCTTTAAGGATATTTATCTGCTTTGTAGGGGTAAGTTTGATATTTATTTTATATATTATACTTATTATAATAATGCTGAACATATACAATAAACGGTCAAAATTGTAATAAATGATAATGTTTTTTTGTTAGAATCCTATTTATTTAACGATATAAAATCAATTTCCTTCAGGTAATAAAATTTATAGCAGATATTAATCTTCTGCAAAAATGCAGATGCATTTTTTATTATTTTTCCATTTTTAAACGTACATTTTAGATTTGCGGTACATTAAAATTAAGTTTAAGATGTTTGTCATAAATTTAAAATTGTATTCGTACTAATATCAAAGCTTCTTAGGTACTATATCTAGTAGTCGTAACATTTTTAATCGGCTTTCTGCCGAATGGCCGCATAAAACGTTGGGCGAACAACCAGGGCTCCCTTATTGCATTCAGGATAATGTCCCGTTCTATCTCGAGTATGATCACGATCCACAATCCGGAATACAAACCAAAGAATGGAGGAGTGTGCGTGTCGAATCATACGTCCACTCTTGACGTCTGCATTTTATCCACGCAAACGACTTTCTCTTTGGTAATATCGTGGACGGAGTAATATATTTATAAGCTAAAAGATTTCAAGTATTGCATTACCATCATTTCGTCACAGTGAACATATCTTCTATTTGTTAATAGCTTTGTACTGTTTAAATTTTATCACATTTGGGAATGATACGAGAACAAATTATCATATTCATAATTATGACATATATATGTACGTAATATTCATATAATTCGTATTATTAAAAAACTGTATGAAACAGACAGTATACGGTTTTTTTATTCATGATATAACACTGGATATAAAGGTATAATAATTTTTTCATGGCTTCATAATTTTTATTACATAACAAAATAACACGATTTCAATCGGTTAGCTTTCTTATATATGATCGAGAATCAGAAGTTTGTTACTAGTGTTACAGAAGTTGTTGCGCTTTACTGGTAAATGTTACAGGTAACGTGTCCTGTAACTTTGCTTTACAGGTAGTATCTACTCAGCAACGATAGAGAGGGAATCCCACGTTTCTCAGGTGCAAAGCTTGTGGTTTACAGGTGATGTGGCTGACAGTGTGTACTGCAGTAGTGGGTTACGTTCCCGAGGGTAGCTTCAAGCGGTGGCTCAACTACAAAGTTTCCATAATGTGCTTTGCTGTCTTATCCAGTGCTCTGTCTTCAGTCATTACCTACAACAATCCAGAGAATCGCCCTGTCCGAGGCATATGTGTAGCTAATCACACATCTCCTATTGACGTACTCGTACTTATGTGTGATAACTGTTATTCATTGGTATGTTTTTAGTGTATTGTTTATGGATATGGATATCTTTTTACAGTTGCTTTCTCACACAAACGATTCTTTTGCTTTGCCATAATACTTTTCTGAATATCTTTAGAACGATGTATTCTATAATTGCATATATTTCATTACTGCCAATAATTTTGTTGCTTTTCATCGTTGCTTTATTAAAATGTTCCAAAAATCGTTCTCTTTTTTCAGCTGTTACAGATTTGAAGCATCTGACGTTGATTTTTTTTGCAAAAATTGCATGAGAAAAATCTATACTTATTACAATTTTATGATTTACGATATTAGGTGTATGAAAACAAAAGAAATCTATATTAAAGAAATTTATATTAAAAGCATGATTTTATGATGGTTTAGCTTGATTATTTAAGAAATATTTTATATTTTTAATGATTATAATTAATGAAATAATTGTATTCTTAAAAACTTCATTATCTGTAATTCGAAAGTGTACGACTTTTAGAGAACATTTATATAATTTTTAAATATACATCAGACACCTTATTTACATTTCTTATTATAGATAGGTCAGAGGCATGGTGGTTTCTTAGGAATGTTACAAAGAGCTCTTGCCCGTGCTTCTCCACATATATGGTTTGAACGCTCTGAGGTCAAAGATAGAGAAGCAGTTGCGATAAGGTATAATTACTTAAACATAATTACATTTTTCTGTCTTACCTATTTCATATTCTATGTAGATTATCAGTTTTATATTCTATATGAATTATTAATACATTACATTTTTTTACAGGCTAAAGAAACACGTATCAGATCCTACGAACCCACCGATACTCATATTCCCAGAGGGTACGTGTATCAACAATACATCAGTTATGCAATTCAAAAAAGGCAGTTTTGAAGTGGACAGCATTGTTTATCCTGTGGCTATAAAAGTAATTTTTTATTATATCTCTTATGTACATCTTTGTGTAATATTTTTTAAAATGTTTTTCTTATGTTTTTTTAAATATATAGTACGATCCAAGATTTGGAGATGCATTTTGGAACAGCAGTCGATATTCGATGGTACAATATTTATATATGATGATGTCTAGCTGGGCTATAGTCTGCGATGTATGGTATCTCCCTCCAATGCTTAGGAAGGAAGGAGAAAGTGCAATTGATTTTGCGAATCGAGTGAAATCCGTGATAGCGCGGCAAGGTGGTCTTGTTGATCTGCAATGGTATGTTTGACACTGGTTTAAAGCTTTGTAAAAAATGGGAATTAGAAATAAAATTGATATATATTTATTTTATGAATTACAGGGACGGTCAACTAAAGAGGATGAAGCCAAAGAAAGAATGGAGGGAAAAACAACAAGAAGAATTCAGTAAACGATTAAAAGTCGAATAAATAGTAATATCATTTCTAGTCATTGCTTCGTATGCGCATATTACGTGATATTTGTTTATTTGAACAAAATTATTTAATTCAATTGGTTTCTCTGTTACATATGTTTCCATATACATCATAACCATAATGAGGAAAATTTATGTTATGACCCTTTAGTCTACATTATTAAATTTTAGATATGTTTGCAAATATGACAGTTTGCACTTTTTTGTTAAATTTGTAGGTACAAATAATTGGCATTCTAACATTACGCGAGGTGATGTAATATTGTACATTTACAATTACATAAATATAACTTTTTAATGTAATTTTTAAACGAATTTGTGTGCTATGTGGCTTATGCTTTGAGAGATTCGAATTTTCATTTGAAGTGCAAATGTAATATTTGCTATAATTTTTAGTAGTAAGATGATTCGTTGATTGCAAAGGCATTACGAACTTATTATTTATATATGAAATGTGTAGTTATAGCGTGTGATATTTTTTTGCATGTGAGTATATGTAGCATCAAGAAATTTTTCGATTATTCATATTATGAAATTATTGAACAGTCGAACACTTTAGATACATTAATTTTCTCTTAGCTAGAGAAAATTATTTTAGTTTTTGCTGCAGTTAAAAGAGAAACAAAATATTTATTCATTTTTTTCTGAAGAAGGCTTAGCGAAATGACACAACTTAGCTCCAGATTACCTGTCCTTAAGAATACTGTGCACACGACTGCATTATGTTATTTTTCTATTAAAACTGAATAGCATCTCGATATATATATTTTCTACTTTTATATTTTACATACATAGAATGTGAAGATTTTTAGCGTTCCACATTGCGATGTCAGTATAATATATAGTTATGAATTTAATATATAAATAAAAATATACGCGTGTGCATATTTATGTATCTGTGAACCTAACTAAAAAGACTACATTAAGAATGAAAGAGAAAGATATACAAGTATGAAGAGACGTATTTTCTCATACTTCCAACCAAAGTTAAATAGCAGATTTAAAATAAGTGCTATTTTATTATTGATGGCATTATTATATATAATAAATAGTAGTAAGTCATTGATAAATGTTATTCATTATTATTAACTTAAATGAAGATCACATCTATTATAAATTCATACTATTTGTTATTTTATAATTTGGCCTAATTCCTATTATAATTATAAAATTAAGTATTTACATTTGATAAATATTTTATAAAAGAGAAGAATTTGATTAACTTTTTTGGCGATATATAAACTTAATAAACTTATTTTAAACCTATTTTAAGAAAAACTGAAAATAATGTTAATTAAACAGAATTAATTAGATATTTATTAGATGATACAATTATTGCGTGGGGAAAACAAATTGTAAGTCGATTTATTTTTCGAATTCATTTTTATCATTATCTTAACATCATAATATACTTATTATAAAACATGCATGAATCTATTTCGTAAAATTAAATTTCTAAATGTTAGTGTAAAATTTCTTTCATAACAAACGGTATAAAAAATATTTTTATAGCAAATAATTAGTCAATAATATATAAGAGATGTGTGTGTGTGTGTGTGTGTGTGTGTGTGGCGCGCGCGCGCGCACGTATGTAACTATTGCTTATTAAAAAGTAGGGATTCTTGGGATTATATCAAATTATTTCTTTTATAAATAAAATTGATTTGTTACATAGCATGTATATATATATTTATCACTTTGTTTATATAGGAGAAATGTATTATATAGTATGTATGAATTTAATAATTTGAATGGCACTTGTTTATAATTAATGTTTATCGATATATGTACATGTAGTTAAATAAATTAAAGCATATTAAATAAAAATTGATTTGTATGAAAGTGTTGTGCAGTATATATAAGGTGTAGTAAAAAGAAATCTATTATTTTTGCATTAAATTGAAGGCTTTATTTAGTATAGTTAGAATGATCCGATTTAGGTCAAATATGCACCGTTTTGTTCGATAACTTGTTGCCATTTCGAAGGTAATTTCATTATGCCTCTCTCATAGAAATCCTCGTCTCTATTGGCAAAAAACTGGGACAGTCGATTTTCACAAGCTTCTCTTGAGGCGAATTTTTCACCAGCAAAATCATTCGCCATAGACAGGAACAGGTGGTAATCACTTGGTGCCAGATCCGGACTATAAGGTGGATGCATAAGAACCTCCCAACCAAGCTCCCGGAGCTTCTGGCGAGTCACTATCGATGTGTGTGGTGTTGATCTGGGTGTGGAGAACACAATTCCTCTCCTATTGGCCAAAGCTGGCCGCTTCTGGGCGATTGCTTCTTTCAGACGGTCCAATTGTTGACAGTACAGGTCCGAATTAAGAGTTTGGCCGTAGGGGAGCAGCTCATAGTAGATGATTCCCTGCCAATCCCACCAAACACACAGCAAAACCTTCCTGATCGTCAATCCTGGCTTGGCCACCGTTTGCGCCGGCTCATCGCGATTCGACCACGACCGTTTTCGCTTGACGTTGTCGTAAGTGACCCACTTTTCATCACCAGTAACCATTCGCTTCAGAAATGGGTCGATTTTGTTGCGATTCAGCAGCGATTCGCAGATGGAAATTCGGTCCATGAGGTTTTTTTGCGTTAACTCGTGTGGCACCCATACATCGAGCTTCTTTTTGTATCCAGCCTTATTTAAATGGTTCCAAACGGTTTTTTGTGCAATGTTTAGCTCCTGGGCAATCGAAACAGTGCTTACATGACGGTCGGACTCGACGATTTCCATTATTTTATCGACATTTTCGACAATTGGCCTTCCAGAGCGTGGTGCATCTTTGACATCAAAATTACCGGAACGGAATCGACGAAACCAAAATTGCGCGATATTGACTGTTACAGCATCAGGACCATAAACACTATTCACATTTTTAGCCGCCTGGCTTGCGTTTTCGCCTTTATCGAAGAAAAACTGTAAAATATGATGTATTTTCTCTTTGTTGGTGTCCATCTTTGACACGCGCTCAAACAATACTGACTCAAGCAATCACAAAACTGTCTGAGAAGTTTTTTTAGTACGAAATATTATATAAAATTGCTTGTAAATTTAATTAGCGATTACTAGAGTAGTTTAAGTTTTTTTACGAGTTAAGTTTTTTTTAGAGTTGCGTTTATAGTTCAGAAAAACAATTCGACGCGCAATTCAAAAAGACTACAAATATATGCAAGTACATATATAGTATATATAGTAATTTCAGATTGAATTATTCTAAGCATTAAAAGATCCAGCTTCAACCGTTATAGGCTTTTAATTTCTAGAAAAAAAGAAAGATTGTTTCAGTTTAGATACAAAAATGATACATTAGTCCCTTAATAGTAATTAGTTATATAATTAAAGGAGAAAGCAAAGCACTATATTAAATTTCTTAATTTTTAGAATCAATATATTGTCAATTTTTTCGATTACATAACAAAATTGGTGTCAAAATTAAGAACTGTATTCATAAATGCTCTGTTCAAATACATAGTTATATATATTTGTTTTCTTTTTCGGAACAAATTCCGTAAATAAGTAAACAAGTTGAACTAACATAAGAACAATAACTTTGAATACAGATCTTTGTTACATTAATTATTATAATAATGAATAAACTATTAAGCTCTTTATTTTTTAACTTATTGATTCTTTAGCTTCGTGCATTAGATAAATATCAAATATATTACACGATACTACTTTTTATTAGCAATACATATAATGCTCTCTAACGCTTTTAATAAATAAAGCACTAATCTCTTTGGCATGAGACTCAAATAAGAATAATGAAAAATGTAATAAATAACTTGTATTAACCGTATAAACGACTGTTTCTGATAGTAAGTTTTTAAAATATACTGTAACTAAAAAGCAACGCAAATCGGTACCCTGATTGATTATAAAGTCTTTATAATTATAAAATTAAAAATTATAACTTCTTGTAATTTACTTAAACTTTTTACTCTGATTTTGTGCTCAATTAGGAAGCACACTTGATATCATATGACTGTATTACGACCATGTAATCATTACATTATTCATTTGAAATAGATATGCAAAAAGCATATGCATTATCATTTACTGCATATTTGTTGAATATATTTATAAACAATCAATATCTTCTTGTATTTTTAAAAATAAGTTAACATATAAGACTATAGTCTCGCTGTTAACAAGTATGAATGACTTATATAAACATTAACACATATAAATTGTTTTACCACTAGATCACAATGGCTCTTGGTAATATTTAAATAACTATATGTCGCGATTAAATTATAACTACTCTCATAATTATGTTATAAAAATCGAATTTGTAAAATAAATTATAATATTATAACAAACAGAAAATTGCAAAACGTTAACTGTTTTCATTATATTTAATGCATATTGTATTAGCAAATCCGTGCAAAAATGGTTAGTATAAAATGTAAAAGGTCTCCAAAGTTTTTTATTATAATTAAAGCTATATATGTATACCTTTTATATCAAAATTTATAAAAAATATATATTTTCCACGAATATATATATCCAAAGTCATATTGAAATGAAGTCTTTAATCGAAAAAAATAGACGTTACTATAGTATGCTATGCATTGTAATGGAGATTACAGCAAGCATGTAAATTGTAATAAAGCAATATTAAAACGTTCAATAATGCGCTTATTTAGAATGAACGATTGTTAAAAGTGAATTTCGCAATTTTCATCCCTATATAGCAAATTCCCTACTTTTTTCACGTCGTTTTAAATGCATTGCTATAGTGTCAGATAATGATGTTGTTATAGTCCTTGTCATATGTGCGCATTATAAATTATAAAATATTATGTCTTTTAAATCCATATTAACTTTGGATTCCTTTGTCAATAACATTGCTCGTTCATTATATATAAAGCAATACTTTCTGTTGTACAGAGTACATTTGTAAAGGATTTTGTGTCATAGTAGCGTATACTTATTAGCTTATCCTAAACCGCGAAAGAAAGGCACAAAGAAATATATTATAACGCTAACTCTAATGAATGGTAACTCTTCTAAATATTGACAATACAAAAATTAGATGGAGAATGCTTTTATAAACGTAGATGATTGCTTGTTTTGTTCACAACACTTGGCAAGGTGAACATCGTGACGTCTATATATTATATTATATTATATTATATTATGCGGTCGACGAATCCTCAACAAGTGAGTTTTCAACATCGTTAGAGGCAAATGTATTCTTGTTCAAATTGTGAACCGATCTTTTTGGTTTCGGTGGAGGTGTCGGCGGTTTAGAGTGACTGTCTACATCATCGTCGGTAGGCGTCGGCAACTTGTTTTTCCATTGTCCCGAAGACTTGTTCAGATTATTCAAAGCAGTCCGATTAGTGGACAGTTCCTCTGGAAGGTTACAATAATCGGCTTCACGCATTTTAATTGGTAAAGGCGGTGGTGGATCATCCTCAGATGCTGTACTATCAGTTGTGCCGACGCTATCTCTATTTCCTTTCCCTAAACCGCTTGATTCTAGTCCATTGTTGATGTTTCTTAGATAGTGAGATTGACCAGACCAACGATTACTCATTCTTCTTTCTTTCTCCGCTTCCGATCTCAGGGGACGTTTAGGTGTGAGCTGTATGCAAAGAAGTTTATAGTTATTAATTATATTTACTTCAAAGTTGTAATAAGACAATGTTTAAAGTCTTTACCTCTTGTCGAAGCTCGAATATATGTGTTGATTGTAAATTAGATATTAACGATGTAACAGACGATGTTGCTTGTTGAATTGAACTAGATATTTCGGTGGTGGTATACCACTGGCTGGTCGGTTGATCGGTTTTTGTCACTGTAGCAGAGTCACTCTTTCGCGAGCTTCTACGCTTCGAATCTTTTTTCTTATACGTTCCTGGACTTGGATTTCCCAATGCTTTTTGCAAAGAGGCCGTTGACAAGATATGTGAACGTATAGAGTTGTTTCTACAGATTAAAAATATTCGCGCGATTAAAGATATCTCTATCATTTAAAAAAGAAAACTTGCAACTCTGGACAGATAAAAAAACTTAAAGATCAACTATTAATTGAACAATGCGCAACTCATGATTGAGTAGATAAGCGCGATTGAATCTCATAATAAAACAAATTAAAATATATTATTGTTAAAATAAAATTTTCACAAAAAAAATAAATTAAAATTTATACAATTGTTAAAATAAAATTTTCTAAACGTTATGTGTATGCTAATATTTGCTGAGGAATCTGTGGTAAGAGAAATATCGAATAATAATAATTGCGATGCCATTCGAGCTTTGCAATAATCTCGTAACACAAGTGTATATTTTTAATTACCTATCGTAGTTATTGTAGACTTAGGAAGTTTAGTAGAGATTGCCAGTTGTGTGTGAAGAAGATATATATTACAGGGATATTTATGACATTATGCAAAACAAAATCATGCAGATAAAAAGCAGAATAAATAAATAAACAGATATAAAAATAATCACAATAATAATCACAAAGAAATAAAATACACTTTTTGTATACACTTAGAATTAAATACATAGAATGATATATATAATATACATATAATGTATAGAAACATAACTATTCAAAATAGTTTTTATTGATTTATCGTCTTAAATCTATTCTACAATTACGTAAATAGTTATAATTGTAAGAATTGATCAATTATAGTCGAATATATTCTTTTCATATTTGGCTATGATTGGAGAATTTTTACAACTGTACACTTACAATTACGTTTACGAAATTGTAGAATAGACTTTATATGCTTCTACATTTGCATTTTTAATTAATTATTTTTTAAATTGTTTTTTCCTCTTTTAATATATATAAACTTCATTATTATTTATTCAATGCTAATTGTAACTTTATTGTTTTATGAATGTTTCCTATCCTCGGAATATATATGTATGTAAAATAAAATAAATTAGATTAGTGCAATATGTATGATAGGATATATATTAATTTGTATATTGTATAAAAATTAACAAAAAAAAAACAAGCAAAAATAAACATTGTGCAGTATTAAATAATATTAAGCATTATGTATGATGCTTTCATTAAAAAATGTAAAATGTAAAAAGATCGAGAACATTTATATAGGAGTATTAAGTACGACGAAAGGATAATAAGGTATTATGCGAAAGTTTATCAGGTCCAACAGCAATATTCCTGAAATCATATTGCATTCTTTTCTATCATGTGTTCTAAATGGTATTTTTATATTATTTATCTTCTATAAACGTAAAATGTGATTTTTAATAAATATGAAATAAATTCGTACATTGAATGATTATTAATTAAAATTGAATATTTATATGTATATTTCATATAAAATCCAAGTATAAATACATAAATATTTTGTTTCTTTGAATAATCGAGATTACACTACTTCATCTACAAAAAAAAGTGCTTTAAATTTTAGTTAGTGCTGAAGGTAAGTTAACTGGTACACTGATATGATGACTTTACCTTGATAAATTGACGTTTTGAGTATTACTCGAAGATGTGTTGTTGTTAAAATTGAACGATGTAAGCGACTTGAACGTTGCAACTTGGGATCTTGTAAGTGAAGATACCCTGTAGTGAGTTACGCAGCTGGGGTAATTATAGAATAGCTATATATTATTTTACTATTTATACAGATTTCCCAGATTAACAATATTTGATTTTGTACATTTTAAATAATATACACACTAATTTTTGTGTATATTTTGTTTTTATTTATATGCTAGGAATTATGTCTCGCAAAATAGGCGCATTATTTTGACATTTAATGCACAAGTAAAGATAATGTTAAAAATAATTAGCCTTAATGTTACTTCTTAAGACAATTAATAACTTTTTAAAATATTATGCCTTATTTTAATGATGATTGTGATATAGCAATAACATGCTATGCAATAGTTATATCTATGTTAGTTACACACACACAC